CTATCTTGTTCTCCTGTCTTTCTCCAAATTGGCCACTGAATTCATCAAAAAATGAAGTCCAAATAAACAGATTTTATCATTTTCTTCTTCTGTGATGGGACAGAGGAAGACTTTCCTGATTTCTAAACAATGGGCCTCTTGGCTTGTGCCATCTGTAGCGATAGCTTTGCAGATGATTAGTAAATGCATGGCTTCGGGTGGAGCTCTATAAACTAAACTCCTTTAAATCAACCTTGCTTGAATAAATCAAAGGACACTAGAGGAAACAGATAATACTAACATAGTTCAGGATTTCCCCTCAGCAAATTGCGGTGGCTGTAGGTTGTAGTTATGTAGTTATCTATAAGATTAATTACCAAGTAATAGTCTCAGTTACCATGCTAATGGTTCTGACAAACGACACTGGCAAAAGTAAATTTGCTGCTAAAGAAAAATATTCAGCTGTATTTCAGCAGGAATAAAGGTCATGTTACACTGACAGAAAATCTTTGTGGATATTAAGACTAAGTTGGAAGAAGAGTGTTAAAAGCCAGTTATACTGTTTGAACTGCAGATAACATTTATGCCTTTGATTTTGACACCTAAAGTCTTGAGATGCAAAATTTATGGGAGAAAATGAATGAAAATTTAAAAAAATGAAACCAACAGGGACACTATGAATAATATCAATGATAAGAATTAGAAAAACAAGTAAACGAACAAAAAAAATTCAAAAGGTATTCTAAAAATCACTTTGCCAGTTAGGAATTTCAGGCATATGTTTTGAATTTTCTAGTGTTTCATTTGTAGAAAGACTTGGAAGCAGAATTCTTTTATTGAAATATAATGCTGGATTGAGAAAAGCCCATTTCAAAAGGGAATAGTTAGTTGGAAGGAAGGACTTTATCCGGTTAGCGTTTGGGTAGCCAGCTCTGGAGCGTGAGCAGTGGACATCCTGGACATGACCGGAGAATTCCGGGTGACTCACCAACTTGGCCAGGTCTCTAGGATGTGAGTGACACTAGCTATCAGAATGAAGACTCAATGAGTCTAGAGTTCTCTGTTACTGTGCTTCCTCAGAGGTCTCTGATGACCCCAGTACACATGTGGACCAGATACTGGGCACTCACTGAAGGGTGGGGAAACAAAACACCGCATATGCATTCCTGCAGTGAGTCTGCCTGTCTTAGTCATGAAAATCTAATTCAAACCAAGCAACACAGCATTAACATGCTCTCAACCCTAGTACATCTGGCTCGCTGGGGTCCTGGCTGAGGAAGTCACCTCTGCCCCAGGACTGCATTTGTCCATGTTCAACGCTTCCTGGGAGGACAGTGTGATAAAAGTCACATCCTGACTCCACTCCAAGTCTGGGCAAGCACACACAGGGACTGGGGGAAGTGTGTCCTTCTGGCAGAAGGACTGACTTGAGTCAGCATCTTATATGCGGCAGGACATCAATAAATACTTCAAAGATAAGAGAATGAGGGTGGTCCACGAGGACTCGACTCCCCAAGTCATAGCACAAGGGCTATGTGAGCAGAACTCCTGCCCTTCCCTGGGCTGGCCCGATGGTCCTCGTGTGCCAACCATATCTATTCCATTCTGGATGTCAGAGACACCCTTCCTCTTCCCCCATAGCAGATGGCTGCTCCCCTTCCACTTTGTCCACAAAGCCTGCTAGCTGGCCGTTTGCCTCTACTCCCCAAGTACAGCCTAAGCTCTTCTATTACATGGTACTTGCCCCGAGTCCTCTCACAACCCTTTTTTATAAGGACAAATTACTTCAGCATCTTGCTCAACTAATCTGAGACTCTCCTCTGAGCACAGCTGTGTCTTATATATAGCTTCAGTTTACTGGGCACTAGGTATCAGCAGTGGCCCTGCATGCGATCTGTTTTGTAGAATATGTCATGACTTATGTTAGAGGTGAACCACACACTCATTGGCTAGGTAGGTTGTTATCCCCACTTTACAGATAAGGTACGACAACATGGAATGCTTTGCGGAAGGTGGCCCTGGCAGTAGGTGGTCTGTTCAATGTCAGTGCTTGCCCTTTGCAAAAAAGATCAGCACTGTAATCCAGACCCGTGAGTATGTTGCTTTACATGACACAAGGAACTTTGAGGATATAGTTAAGAATTTTGAGATGTGGGTGGGTTTTCTAGATGATAGTATTGGTGGGCTCAATATTATCACAATAATCCTTATAGGAGAGAAGCAGAAAGGTCAGAATAAGAAACATAACGTCAAGAGCGGAGATCAAAGAGACAGAAGATGCTATGCTGCTGCCCTTGAAGAGGGTCAAGGGGTCATGAACCAACGAATACAAGTGGTCTCTGGAAGCTGGGAAGGGCAAGAAAACAGCTTCGCTCCTGGGCCTGGCTAAGCAGTATTGCTCTGCCAGCATCCTGATTTTAGGATATCTGAACTCCAGAACTAGAAGATGGGAAATTTGTGGTGTCACAAGTCACTATGTTCATTTGTGTTCATTTGTCACAGCAGCCATAGTGTCCTTCAACTGGAAAACCAGGCAGACACACTGGTATGGGGGAGAGGGTCCCCTTCCATACTTCCTCTTTGGGTTGGGCTGACACTCCATGTTTCTGCTCTCCCAAGGAAGTTAGCTGAAAATCCATAATGAGGAACTGAAAGAGGAATTCTGAATCCCAGCGAGCCCACGAGCCTGAGGTGTTGTGCTCCCAAATCTGGTCCCCAGACCTGGTCTCTGATTTGTGGACCAGACCAAGGCCTCCCCTTGCTGGGGAAGGAGGATGCTTCCCAGATAGTCAGACCTTCAGCCTTACCTTCAGGCCCAAGAATGGGAGTTTGAGCAGGCACCTTCCTATTGCTCTTGCTTTTGGAAAGCTCAGCTAGGGGTCAGATTGTTTGTATGGCTGGATTGCGTTCTCTGTTCTTTCCCCAAACCCCTCTGGTCAGGCAGCTGGGAAGGACCAGCCCAATGAGATAATAATTACCAGCCTTGGTCACTGTGAATCAAGGGCCCACAGCCAGCCCTGTCACATGGCATGGTGGCTCAGACAGAGCTGTGGAGTTCCGCCTGACCTCGCTCTGGAAACAAGGCCAGATGTTACAGAACAGCAGGGCACTAAAGAGCACGTTTCACTCCAAAGCTCCAAGTGCTGTGTGTGCCCTGGCCATGAAACACTCCTTGGAAGAGAGCACAGAACAGCACTCATAACTCAAGAAGGGAGATTACTGACTCTGCAGAAAGGCTGGCGAGGGATGTATGTATGGAGGGGAGACAGCCATGAGGGGGACTTGAGGATTTGGCTTGTAATAGAAGCCACTGTCTCAAAGTGACCTTGCTTGCTTAAAAAGTATCTGAAGTTGCTAAACGTTCAGTGACCCAGGACCCTCGGCATGTGTGTATTAAGCGCCTTCTTAGTGTTTACCATTGCAACACGGTGGGCCTGCCCTTTAGAGGACCTCACAGCCACTGGATGAGGGGGTACTCAGGGACCAATGGTGAATCAAGAATCACCAGAAACCACACTTAATTTCACCTCCTCAGGCACATCCATAAATGAGTAAAGGTCACTATGTCCAGCCTGAACTTTCTTCTACATTAGAAAGCTCTATGTGCAGAGGGTCATCTTTGGCTGGCATGGACAGCAGGCTTAATGGCAGGATCCAGCTCCAAGAGATGCTCTCTATGTTTGGCCATTGCTTTCACATCATATTTAAAACCCAGGCTTCTACACTTGGTCATCATGCTCTGCTCTAGTTTACTTGCCCAAATCACTCCTGAAACCAGACCCTCACAGGAAGGCCTGACAGTCTGTATCAGGTTTCCCTCTTCCTAGAGCTGTTGTCTGAGCTCATTTGGCTCTTATCCTAAGCCTTGCTGGTGCTGGGGTTCCTGGCCAGGACTGAGGTCACCCCTTTGTAGCCAGCAGGAGGAGGGAGTGAGCAAGACCTTGGCTACACTGCAATAAGGAAGGAGACAGAGAATTACAAGGCACCCTCCATGGGACTCTCAGCTGGAATCCTGGGAACTGGGAACAGAGAAAATCCTGAAGGGTTCCCAGGGTGGTGAGGCCCTACTTCTCTGCCCCAGGATAGAGCAGCAGAGGAGACACACATGAAGGCACCCATTCTTCAAACCTTTGCATTCGAACTTCTGATGACTTTCAGAGCCTTGGTGGGACTTTAGACTCACTTATTCGTCAGAGTAACGATGCCCTGTGGAGGTTTTGCTTGGGTGCAGGGTCACAGTGACCAGATTCCACTCCCAGCTGCATATCTTTGGGAACGGATTTCCTATCTCAGTGTTTGAGCTTTACCTTCTGTACCACTATAATCTGTGTCTGAATCTAAAGTGGCCCAGTATTCAGTCAAGGGCCCTCCTTACAGGCAGTGGTGAATGGATAGCATCTTGTTAGATCCTGCCACCATGGCATTACATCTTGACCATCTTTCACTGGTGTGCTTTTACTAGAATAGACATCAGGCCTGTCATATGAAATGGCATTCTTGACCCTCATCCACCTGTCTCCTGTCCTTTCCCATTTCCCTAAACTTGGAGTCTAGCTTCCAGCCCCACTACCTGTGCCACATTGTAGGTTTTCCCACCACAGAGGCAGCTTATGGCTCCCTGTCACTCTCAGTCACAGACTCTGATGCATGAGGTCTGACCTAACTGAGAGCCCATGTAACCAACCCTCTGTCTCTAGTTGTAATGGCTTCTCTTTCTGGCACCTTCAACTCTTGACTGAGATTGTGGAGTACAGAGACATTAGCACAGCCTGAGTAGTTGTGGGGAAGTCTGGTCACCTGCCCACCCCACTCTGTACATGCTGAGCCCTGGCTGATTCATCCCTGTCACCCCATGTACTCATGCCTCTCTAGTTGAGTCACATTGAATTCCTTAAGGTCAGGCTCCAGGCAGCATCAATTTTTGCCCACTATGTATCAGATGGATACTCCAGAAACAAGGATATATGAACACAGAACATGCTTCCCTGATACCCTGTGTTGAGCTGGTGGCGGCCACATACCTGGTCCCCAGAGTGTGATGCACTGCTGCTCATGGGTCTGGCAGATGCCGTTGTAGCAGTAGCCATCTACCCCCTGACATGGGTGCCCATCATGCAGGTATACATTGGCTGGACAGTGAGGACCTGCTCCTGTGCAGAATTCTGGGAGGTCGCAGGAGTTGCTGGAGCCCCTGCATGCAGTTCCTGCGGGCTTCAGCTGAAAGGAGAAGGTAGTTTACAGGACATGTCCCAGGAGAAATGGAAGTCACCCTCAGTAGCTCTCAGGGTAGAGAAGTATGAAGCAAGGCCATCTTAATACAGTCCACATAAAGGAGCAAGGATTTCAAAATAAGCCTCTTTTACAGGACAGAGAGCTTGTTTAAAAGTTTTGCTCTGAGCTCTGGGTTCACCTTTCTGTGGCCAGGGATATGAGACAATCAAGAAAAGCTGCTTTTCGTGTGCAATCTTAGGGTTTCTGGTAAACAGACAAGCTGCTGTCTGGCAGCTGTCACTTCAGGCCCCTGGGAAAGTTGATTCTTCTCTGATTTACAAAATTATCACATGCTTTAAATTGACATTTGCATGTACAGTGTTAGCATCTGTGGATACGTTAACAAAAATAATATCAAGGGTACTATCTCCACAGAATGTCACTTTGTCATCATATCACAGAGTTAGAAACCTCTCTTTAGTACTTTATGAGGAGATCTAGAGATGAGGTAAAACATAGAAGTAGTAAAAAATGCTAGAGAATCCTCCAACCAACATTAATTTTCTTGCAGTTGAAGAAATTAAGGCTCAGAGAGGCTAAAAAGCCAGGGACTGCAAGTCCTAGGCTTGGTTCCCTACAGATTATTCAGAGTCAATGAAATAAGGCTTCTACCAACTTTTGGAAGGTCTACAATTAGAAAGGAATTGCTTAAAATTCACAAAAGTGTTTCACACCTGGGCACTACCACATGACCCCTCCCAGTGACCCTCCTCGAGGTTCACCTGGTCTAAGCTCACCCTTCCCCCCCCTACTCCTCTTCCAGATACTTTTCACTGCCAGGGAGCTCCAGATTCTTACAAGTTTCCCCAGAAATTATGGACCACCAAGAAAGGGGAAAAGAGTATTTTAATGCTGAGCATAAAATGCTAAACTGCACTTCTAAATCACTGTACTCAAGTGGGGCAGCTAAGAGGGAGTTTCCTGTAAGCTTCTTGCCAAGATCAATTGCTTAATTAACAAGAAATAAAACTCTACCCTTGGAACATTTGAATCAAAAGCTCAGGCTTCTACTCTGTCAAATATCAGCTCTGAATAATGAGACAAACAATGGAACTGCCAAAGTAAATCCAGTCATAGCAGCAAAAATGGCATATGCATAAAACTGCCACTCTTGACTTAATGTCAGGAAGATGTTAAGTCAGAGATGTTTGCGCAAAACCCCTGGAGCCATCTGCATGGTTTCTTGGCCCATTGGTCATTCTTGGCACCAAGCAGACAAATCTGGAGTGAGCACTAGTGATAGGGATGATCTGATTCTTCGCACTAGTCACTGTCGTAGGACTCCACATGCAAACAACAGGATAAACAGAACACTGCTTAATCTAAAACACCAGTTTTGGGTTCTGTTCATGTTCAGGCCATAAATAAATAAATAATTTATCATAGGTGATTAGTAATTGAAGTGTTCCTTTCACCAAAATATTGGAAGATAAAATACGGAGGGGGCTGCTATCAACTGTGTAAAAGGAGTCATAGTTTTCTGGGAAGCTATCTAGCTATATTACTTATATACATAGGTCAGATGGGAATCCCAAACCCATTGATGACCTGGGGCCAGGCTGCAGGTCCTGTAACTCACCTGACAGTCTTCACAGCACAGTCCGTGTGCACATACGGCGTCCGATTTCAGGGTGCAGGTTGTAGCATTGCAGCAGCGATTTGTACATTCCTGGAGAAAAACATGGGCTCTGGTTGATGGGCTCATACAAGGCAACGACTCATGGAACACAGATGTCACACTTTAAGTGGCTTCAAAAATGTAAAGCCTGGCTCCTGAACTAAAACCTGCCTGATGGTCAGCTTTATTTGCAAGAATGCAGTGTCTGTGAAGTGTTCACAAACTGACTGGGTTGCTCATCTTAGAAAGAAGTCAGTAACACTTGAGTGTCCTTCCTGAGACATAAAGGCATAGGAGCAGAAAGGCTGGAGGGCCAAATAATGAAGCCATGCTAGCGGAGGCTGTGGTAGCTCCTAGGGTGATCTCCATGTAGAGCTCACCGCAATTACCTGCATCAGGACCACCAGAAGGCTGAAATTACCTCCAAATAACTAGGGTATATTTTATAAAGGTACATTTATACAAAAACAAAACCTACTATTCTGTAGGACTAATAAGCAATGATAAAAAGGAAGGAAAAAAAGAATACACAGATACATATAATCATTACTCTTCAAAAATGAACCTTCTGACAGGGCTGGGAACATAGCTCAGTGGTAGAGTGCTTGCCTAGGATTCCTTATGAGGCCCTGAGTCCAGTCCCCAGCACTGCAGGGGAAAAAGCAAAGCAAAGGAAAGAAAAAGACCGCTTTGATCTAGAGTGCTCTGAAAGGAAGTGAAGTCGGACTGACCCAAGTTCCCTGCAGTTTGACCAGGTGATTGTGAATGAGACCCTTGCTCTGCACAGGTAGGCTAAGAAGTGGGAAGGAGGTTGGGGCTGACATCTTTGGCTTTCAAGGAGTTTAAACAGGTAGATCAAGTAGCAATTTATTGCCCTCCATGAAACAAAGTAAGAGAGAAAACTAACTCCTTTATTGTGGTAAGCTTTATATGTACTCATTTTTTTTTCTAACAAAAAAAACCACAAGAGATTGACATCTTTTGCTCAGTTCTCAACAAGAAACCTGCACCCACTTAGGAAATTTATGAAGTCTGTGTTCTTTAGAGCAACCCAAAAACTGAAGTTTATATATTTTAGAAGATATTATAATTATTATAAGATGAAATAGTTCATAGTCCTTTACACTGCTTAACCTATCAACATCTTTTTATTTTCTCCAAGGTATGATGTGCTATAATGAATTTATATACCATCGACTAGAGTGAAGCTAAATACATGTAAGTTTAACAGTATAATAATTTACTACTGAAAACTATCTTTTCTGAATAAATGTATCATTCATTAATGCATTTTTATAGTAACCCAGGTTTATGGCAACCCTTATACCTGCACTGTATCCTGTGTCAAGCTCACATTTGGTGTTTACCATTTGCTCCCATCATGCATACTTCCAAAGCTATTAAATTTTACATTTGCTTGAGGACTTTATAAACATCCAGAATGTGTAGTATATACAATAAGATAAAACTGCCAACCAGAAATCATGGCTGTAACTTTCATGACAGTAAGCGTTTCTGGCTCATGAACTCTTAATGGTACGAAAGTTTAGTAACTTGTTTTGCTTTTTAAAAGTAGACAATTAATTGCATTCTCTATTAGGTACTGTCAAATGTATGGCAATGCCATTTTACTCATTATGGTTCAAATGGCACTACTAATGATACAATACCAAATTAGAGATTCCCTTGAAATTGTAAGTTAAATCAGACATCCCATATCTACGTCCCAAAATTCTTTAAGAACATTTCCTCCTCCACAAATCACTAAATAATGTAAGCAGCAGTACAGATGGAAACACAGCCAAGTAGAAAGTCTTTGACTTCAAAGAAGGTTGATAATATGAAAAAGATAACAAAGTTTTCAAGATATTTGCAAGCTACTGGCATCCTATTGACTTTAAACAAGGAGATAAGGTTGCTTTCACAACCCTGTTAGCTGGAAGAGTGAATGAGTTGTCAGAATATCCTTATGGTGATATAAATCCAACACTCTGAACAGAAGGCTGCAGGGATCCCTCGCCTTTTAGCTACCCCAAATCTATTTCTTCTGGAGTACCATATTTCTCAGAAGAGACAAGTTCTTCATCTGTTGATGCATTTATTATTGTAGTACTCAATAGGAAAGCAACAGAACCAATAAATACCAATTCTCCAAAGAAGAAAGAAAAATGAAACCATTAGAACATCCTTTGCAAAACCCTAATTGTCATTCTCATGCTGTAGATAGTAGACAGATTCTTAGTCACAGTGAACTGAGATAAAACTGTAATGCATTTTCATGGAAATGATGGAGAACATTTCTGGGAGTGAGGGAGCAGAGGCTGGATTTAGTTGTGTGCTGATAGAAGTTATTTCAAGCCCAATAACTCACTGATTACCTCTTGCCCAGGGAACAGTGTGATCAACAGCAGGCAAAATACCTGCAGGGTGTGAGCACTGGGAGGAAAAGAATGAACCCAGGTAAAGGGCAAATTAAAAATCTTGGGCAAAAAGGGGCTACCGCAACACAAGGAAAAATTGGAATTTGAACTTTGAAAAGCAAACATAACAAAACAAGCTAGAATGCAAAAATTCATTGTGATTTTGAAAAAGTTCATGGATGGATTGAATGAGAAAGATTCTCTTAAAGTATCAAGGGCTCACCTTAGGAATTAAGGACTCTAGCTAGAGGAATTATATGCAAGTAGAATTTGGCTTTGCATAGGAGTTTGTAAAAATCAAATCTTTCCCACAATACAATGTGCTACCCAGAGAGAGATAAGCATCCTGGAAAATCTGCACAACTCCATCCTTAAGATGCACAACAAAAATGTCTAGCAAATGTTCAGTGCTGAGGATTCTATTACTGAATGTTTGTGTGGTGAATACAGGATGCTCAGGAGTCTCAGCACAACTTTTGGCTCTTCCTGATCCCTCATACAGCCACTCTGTGAATTTAACTAAGCCTGCCTTGAACTCGGGCCACCATTTTGGCTTGCATAAGCTCTAGCAGAGAATTCCATAGGCAGTTTCCTGTTATACCAGTGCCTTGCTTTGATGTATTCTAAACACAACCGCCTCCAAGCTTTGAGGGGCTTGTTTTACTAGGCAGTCTCACCATGTACTCTCTTTCTTCTCAGGAATATTCAAAGATGAAAAAGTGGCTGTTTCAGCTTCTATGCTGATTAACTTTATCTTGGGCACTATAGAAACAAGAAAATTTCCTGAGATTGGCTGGAAAGCAGGGTTAAATAAGCCCAGAGCTGGATAAAAACGTTCCCTGCTCTCACTTATTGCTTCTGAAAGCTAACAAGCACAAGAGCCAGGAGCCCTGGGAGCCTCAGGCTCTGCATACTTAGGAGGCTGCTGCAGAATTTCAGCTGGAGGAAGCGCTTGTCTAAAATTGAGTGCCACTTATTCAAATTCCCCTCTAGTAGCATGCCTCACAAAGAGAAAGAAATGGTGCCTATTAGCTCTTTGAAGCTAGAATTCCAAGGCTTCCTTCTCTGTCAAATGCAAAGCTAAATGCTTTTTTATTGTTCTTGTCTTTATCTCACTGAGACTGCTGTACCCTTCCTAGAGAAGATTCTTTATCTATTTAAATCAAATGGAACTTCTTCTGTGCAATAGTTAAGGTTCAAGAAAGGCACCCTGGTGTGTGGGGCTTGCTCAAGGTGGACATACAGGACTTTTCCATCCTGAATTTCTAGCACATTCATTCTGCTGCCCAATTTCTTACTGCCTTGTCCATCCAAGAATATCAGGAGAACGTTCTGGAGATGGTTCCCTTACCTCCGGCTCCCCACAGTCACATTCCTCTCCTTCTTCAACGTATCCATTCCCACACTTCGGGCCCCCAAAAGCCTGCTTGACTTCAGGGAGGTTGAAGAGGCACATTCCCATCCCTTTCTCCAGGCTGGTCTCCAGGTCCTTCCTGCTGCAGCTGCTGAAGACCATGGGGAACGGGTACCTGAGAGGGAAAAGCCCAGCAGGAAGTTGTCAGGGCACAGGGTAATCTTTCCTCTCCTCCTCTTGATGCTACTTGGGCCACTTATGGGGAACACCTGCTCAGGTGTTCACTATGACTATCAACAAACAAAAGCTTAAATATATAGCATACAAGGAGATACATTCCACTCATTCTGACATTCATTCCCATATAGTGCTGATACTACTGGTGAAAAAGTGTTTTATCAAAAAAGAAGTCATTATTGAACATTTTTCAAATCAGTAACCTCAGACAGCCTCATTACCGTTCCAGGTGAGGTAATATAAGAGGAAGCGAGTTCTTAGGACCGATGGCTTATAATAACAACACATACCAGTGTCCTGATTGGTAAGTACAAAGAAAAATAAAGTACAGATGGCTGCTTATCCATCCCATGGCTTCAGGAATGTATGGTCCCTCTATAGGGAAGGTCCTGCTGATACTGGCATTTAGGGCTACAAATGGTTGAATCACTCTCTTCCCATGGCATAGATGACGAGAATGGAGGTGAACTGGAAATGCATGCCCTGAACTTGCCTCTAAATTACAGGGCTATAAGAGGTGCCACAGAGCCAGCCAGCTCCCCAGAAAGTCATGCCCCCTTCTGTGGTACAGGGGAGCTGCCCAGGTCCCTTGCACCTGGTGGGCTGCGCGACAAATTCCTGGCAGTAGAATGCAAGTAGTGATACGGGTTACTTGGGATCTAGGGTATTTAAGCAAGCATTTCTTCTCAATGTACTTCTTTCTCTTTCTGGTAGCTGAGATTGGCACATCGCATGTTTTAGAAGGTGGAGGAGTCAGACACGGCCCCTGGTCCTGACTCCATAGGAAGGGAGGCCATCTGGAGCTGGGAGCCCCAGTATTCCAAAGAAGGCAAACAGATCTCTATTTGAGTATGCTGCTGAGAATTTAGGGTTTGCTTCCTTCAGCAGATAGTGTTATGCATATGATTTAAGTGTGTCCCTCAGAAGTTCATGTGCTGGAAGCCTGGACCCAGTGTGCTGCTGCTGACTAAAGGCCTTTAATACATGTGGCCAGAGGAAGTTGGTTAGGTCATTGGGGTGTCATCCTCAGAGGGATTAGTGTTGTTCTTGAGGAAACTGAACCAATTTCCTCTGAGAGTGAGATGTAAAAAGAGCAAGCCTGGCATTTGAATGCTTCTTGCTTCCTGTCTTGCAGTAGAATCTGTCCCCCCTGTATGACTGCTTGCCATTGAGATAACATCCTCCGTGATGTCCTCCCTGGGGCTGAGCATGTTCTTGAACCTCCAGAACTGTGAGGTAAGTAAACCTCTTTTCTTTATAGATAGCCCAGCATCAAGTATTTTATTGTAGCAACATAAAATGGACAATACAGTTACCAGCAAAGACAGAGAATGTCATTTCCTTTTACAAATGCATATTCCCATGTTTTGAGATAGAAAGGGATGGGCATGCCAGAGACCCAGAAGGTTTTCTTAATGAGGAAGCTTGCTGGCAAGCAGGCTTGAGCCTTCTCTCCCCAAGGAGACATTTATAGGATGACATTATTATTAGATCTCAATCAAAAAAACAACACAGCCGCTACATATTCCTGAAGATAGCAGACTGGCCATCCCACAGTAACCGAGGGTGGCAATATTTTGAGAACTGTTATAACCTAAGCTCCCCTATCTATCGCGCCAAAGCTGGTGGCCTGTTACAAATTGTGTTAATTGCATTAGATTGCATTAGATTGTACATTCTTCACAAAAATAGCTTCGTTTGTATCATAGCAATACCTGTAACTTGGCCTTACTGTCTGTGTTTTTCTATTCCCTTTGGATGACCTAATTGATACGTTAATCAATGCTCTCCTCTGTAAAGAATTGTAAAATCTTACCTAATTGATATGTTAACCATTGTTGCCCTCTACAAATAACAGTTGTGTTGGTAAAGTAAGGTAACTAAGGTTGTTAATTGCTGTTAGACTTCTCTATTCTTTGCTAAGAAAAACAAGATTTCTTCTTATCTGAACTTGCTAGTACACAGGGAGACTTGCAATTGCTGTTTCTGCTTTGTAATGTGTCACACCCCCACCCCCTTCCTTCCATTGTGTGACGAGCAGCAATTAGGGCTGGGGATTTAGCTGGGGTTGGGGATTTAGCTCAGCAGCATAAGTGCCTGCCTTGCAAGCAGGCAGTCATGAGTTCGATCCCTGGTACCGATAAAAAGGAAAAAGACAAAAAAAAAAAAAAAAAAAAGATAAAAGCCCTGACTTTTAGCTGTGAGGTGTGCAGTCTCCAAATTGGCTCCCGGAGACTTGTCACCAGGCCTGGATTTTACCTAATAAAGCCTTTGCTTCCCAAATTTTAATTTCTTGCTTCCTTGGATTTTATACCGGGGTCCAAGTTATCACAAGAACATGATGGTTTTCATGGCTAAAATGATGATAGAACTCTGTTTGCCCAAATGCTACCTATTAATCTCCGATTTTTACCTCTAAAATCTAATTCTAATGCACAAATAAATTAATGCATGAAAGTTCTGCTCTGTTGGATATAAAGGAAATACAGAGATTGATTTGTAGGATCGTAATGAAGTTCCTTTTGGAACCTTTACAACTTTCCTTGCTGGATAGATGGACTATTTCCAATATCAAAATGACACTGAACAGCTCCTAAACTACAGATTATTTTTAGTCCATACTTCAACTTAGAAGGCACTGTGTTGAAGAGATTGGTATAGGAGGAAGGTGAGAGTTCTTCTCTTTGCTAAGAAGCACACTTCATCAAGATCTAGATCAGACCTTCTTGTATATTTGTGGTATTTGTGACTGTTCCTAGAACATGTGTGTTTTCAGGCCTGATCTTAGGACTGAGGCTCTTTTTCAGTGATATGCAACTTAGTGGCAGGATGACAAACTGATCAGTTCATTCTGGAAGGGAACTGATTTCTGGAAAATGTCTGAGTTAATTAGGAAAGACACTAGGTTAAGGTGTTAATCTCAAGAAGGGCTTATAGCAAGAATAACAGTAGTTGAGAGAAGCAGGAAGAAAGTGTGGCTTGAATCACCCTGTCCCACAGGGAGCCAAGAAAGTCTGCAGAATTCAGGAGATGGGAGTGCTGAGACCAGCTGCACTCACCAAGTTCAGACAAGTCTACCATTCCATGGTCTTTCAGACACACACACACACGTTTCAGTGCTTTTGGTGCTGAGCTGGCCATTAATGAAAAGGGACAGAAACAAGATCAATGAGATTAGTTTAAGAGCATGGATTAAACTTCGGTTCGGTGAGAGTATACTTTGCATCCTGTCCTAGGTACTATCAAATGGAAGTATAGTGATCTGTGTGATAACAAACTCTCATTGCCCTCAGCCTTTTCTTTCTTTTGAGGGATGAAGCCCAAGTGCCTTTAAAGTGCTGTCTTGTGAGAACCACCAGAGATGCTCTCCATCCAGTGCAGAGCAGGCTTTCAGCTCACTCTGAGGACCAACTTGAAGGCCTCCATTTCTGGAGGTGCTGCTGTTTGAACAAGGCAGCAGCATCCTCGTCGGACGCCAAGTGAGTTTTCCGTGAATTCCATGACCTGGCTGACCTTGCTCACCATGGATCACTCAGCTTGGAGCAGGTCTACTCCAGGTACGCCCAGGATCACCAGACCAGCACTAGCCTTCATGGTTGGCATCATGAGAGCACCAAGGATGCAAACCTCTGTAATCATCCAAGAACCAACACTTTTGTGTGTGTGTGTGTGTGTGTGTGTGTGTGTGTTCATTTTGTTTTTGCACTGCTGAGACTTGAACCTTGGGTTTGTGCATGCCAGGCAAGTACTGGAACACTGAGGGTATTGCCACAAACTGAGCGCCTCACTCGGGTACTGGGGATTGAACCCAGAAACACTCTGCCACTCAGATATACCCCAGCCTTTTTTCTCTTTTGAGACATGATCTTGCTAACTTGTTAAATTGTCCAGACTGGGCTTAAGCTTGTGATCCTGCCTCAGCCTCCCAGAGTGCTGGTATTATAAGCATGCACCACTATGCTTGATCCAGACTCTGATGACAAATGGTGATGAGACAGAAGAGCATTTTCTACCTATAGATGATCTTTGCCTCTTGCTATTTCACTCTCATAGAATATTCCAGAACACTCTTTGGGCATTTAGAGGAGAGGAAGGAAGTCAGCAATTTGCCACTCATCATCCAGTGATTCTGCAAGTATTTGTTCTACATCAGTAAGGCTCTGCAAACAGGGAAGTGCACAAAATACATGAAAATAGTATGGAGCCTGCCTTCCAAGAAGTAGAGTGGGCTAAACAGACAAGAGGAGGAGAGTAAGTGGGTTGGGAAGGAAAGGGTTGAGCAGGAAGCGATGTGAAGAAAAAGGAAGGATGAAGAAGAGGGAGAGGAGGAGGAAGAGAAAGAGAAGGAAAATAAAAGGTGGCAGCAAGTGGGGTGGGATGTGCACTGGATTGGTAGCGGGGTGGACCCCATGGAGGAACTGTACAAAGAGACCTCCCTGGGGAGGCAGGCACGTGAGCCCCTCACCCCATGGACAAGAGGAAGGGGTGGGCGCAGTGGCAGAAGAGCCCGGAGCCAGGGTGTGGGAGGATGTGACTGTCCTGAAGGAATTCATAGGCTCCATTAGCACAAACACACCCAGACAAATGGCTCCGAGGCGGCCGGGAGCCGCTCTAGATCTTTCTTGCTTAGACACCAGGACCCACGGCTGGTGAGAGGACACCAGAACCTGTTGCAGCATGGAACGTTGTCCCTGCAGGAACTGCTTAACTGATGTGAAATTCTTAGGATGTAATATTCACCCTTTAAGCCACTGAAAGTGTAATCCAGTAATTGTTAATGCATTCATGATGTTGTACAATTGCTTCTGCTCTCTAATTCCATAATATTCTCTTGACTAAACAAAACCCACACCTGTTCCACAGTCACTAATTCTGTTCTCCTGGCCTCTGCCAGCCCTAGTCTGTTTTCTGTCTTCATGAATTTTTCCTGTTTTGTTT